ATTTGACACGTCCAATCTTTTGATCAAGCTGGATCTTCTGGTACAGGTCGCATATTTAAGGTACGTCAGGTTGTTGACCTATGCTGTCGCTCGTGAGCCTCTGCACAGTCCAAAAACAATGCAATTTCTGAACACTCAGAGCCAAGAAATCCTTCACACAGTCACAAAGATGACACTTGGCAGAAAGAAGAGCTGTCGGTTTCTTATCGTTCGTATGTGTCGTGTTTTCACAAGAGTTTAGTAAGGTCAGGTCCGTCACGTGACCTCCCCTCATAACTCAATAGGTTTACTTTCATAGAAGCGTTTATCAATCGCCGGAAATCTTAGCCAATCCCACTAGACACTGGATCCATACCCACATGGGGCCCTCCTGACTGGCCACTCCCTCTGAAATTCACAATAACATTGGGCTGCGGCCACGGTTATGTATTAGTGCTTTTCATTGACAGAAATACAACAACTTCAACCACCACAGTGCACGCCGCCACAACAGTCCGACCCACGTCCCTGATATCGACTAGCACCCGGCCGGATGCACATACGCGGAGCCAATCAGTCCGAATGTGACCTGAAGCTTACAATTGCTGTGTCGCATGGCACAGGACGATTCCTAGCAGCTGTCGGCTGGAGTGGAGACACAGCACGTTGCGACACACCGCGCCGGCGACAGAGCTCAGCAGGGCTGGTTTGAGGCTAAAGCCGGAGGTAAGGGCGGACACAGGCACATACATTGCAGGACAAATAACAAGATGTCAGTTAGGGATATAATTCAAGACGAATGATTCAAGACGGACTGAAATAATGCACATTCTGCTCACTTAGATACCAACTTCAAACTTGACATTTATAGCACCACGGAAACAATTGGCACACAGGAAAGAAACAAAAGATGAGGCGTTTTTAACTCAAGGAGGTAAAAAGAGGTTGCATATGATGGAACAGCCCGAAGTGCAGACAAGCACATATTTTTGGTAATAGCTATCAGCTGTCCTACTTCTCTTCACCCTTCACCAACTACTGGACACATTTGAAGCATCATATTAGCACCAATGTCCATAACAAAAGCTTGCAAGTAGTTTTATGAGGCCAAGGGAAATATGCCTACATCATGCATGTAAGCTCAAAATGCATTACAAAGGAAGGTTATCTAAAGAGAATAGTGGGCAAAAGCATTTCATAGTTAAATTATTCAAAACTGCACACAGGGCAAACATAAAAAGCAGCAAGTGTAGTGTTCTGTTATGCTTAAAAATAGCCCAAAACAAAATACAATCCTTTCTTGTTTGAATTGGTTGTTCTTCTATGCCACTTCATCCATATCTTGTTACAGATGGGCAGTTACTGTAGGCTGATGAAGTGACACTTGATTGCCTTTGTGCGAGTTTCAGTTGCAGCCTCCTAGGTACTGCACTGGAAAGCAGATTGAATTGAATGCCTCTGAAAGATAGGAATATAGGCAAAGTTAGCTGTAGTAGTGTCAATGATAATAGACATGACATTTTTGTCTTTTGACATACATTTGTTGAAGTACAAAAAGGTACAAAATAAATTGGTTTGTTTCAAGACACGCACACTGCACAAAGCCGCACAGACATTACACAAGCATATGAAATTGGTACACATAAAACTTGATGATTAAAAAGGTCAAAACTAGCAACAATAATTAATTGAAGTAAAAGTTACAATCACAATCATTTGATTTAAAATGACTTGACAAAGTCACAAGACGCGACGCTCCTATTCAATTAAGAAAAGTTTTTATGCTTTCATTATCCTCCACATATCAACCAGCTTGATACCAGGCTGTGCAATAGTGGGTACATAACCCCATGTTTCCATTTTATTAGAGCAAGTGGGGTTACAACAACAATGCTAATGTCAAACCCACATCTGCAACCCATACTGAAGTTTCAATCACCTTACAAGAACACCTTCTGGCAGTTTGATGGGCAGAATGGTCATAACTACTTTCTCCTCATATTCAACACAAAGTATATCTTGTACAGATACAGTTTAGACTTGGTTATGGCAAGCATTTTCGAGAAAAGATATGATAAAAGTCCAAGACAAAGGTCGAGAGAAACAACACCAACATAAAACACCGACTATGTAGCACTAATACTATCAAATTCATAAAAATATATACATGAGTCGATCAGAAATTCACTGTAGATTTCGAAAATGGTGTCAAATGCCACTCAAATACCCCCATTCGCATGTACGAAGCAATATAACACTGACCTTCAGTTCCACGTGCCATTCTCCATAGGCCACTGTGTATTAAATAACGCGTTCACTGATCGCAAAAAAATGAGACCCACATATGACGCGTTTGCTACCAGCCAATCAGCGCTCGAGATGCCGAGCGCTGATTGGTGGAGAGGGCCGTCGTCAGCAGTCCATTACATGTTGTTTTCCTTGAACATATACGTGAGCAGCTGATGCTGCTCACGGGTTGTTTCCATTTTTCGTAATGCTGAAGGCACGGGAGCGAACCCCCCTGAGCGTGACCCACATTTGTTGACAACTGGGGAGAGCCCGGAGAGCCCAAAATCTTGCTCAAAATAACGTTTTGGATATCTTAGCTACGCAGTAGAGTTCCAGCCAACGAAGAGCCTGTGATGTCACAAAATATTAAACCAATCAACTGGCGTTGAGGAAACTGCTTGAAGTATCAGTTCAAGTATTTGAGTTGAGGCTGCAGCCTGCTTGGTCTTGGCATGGCAACAAAAAATTGTTAACACTAACCCCGCTTCAGCCGTGTACGCAACAAGCTTCGGTCACTCACTCGGAGTCTTCGGGCGAACTTCGAAAGACATCTGGTGAGGAATCTGCGTACGAACGCCAAAGGTTTCTGGCGGTATGCAGGCACTCGACTGCGGACCAAGACAAGAGTGGAGGACTTGAAGGCTGAAGACGGGACGATGGTTCGGGAGGACCGCGACAAAGCCAACTTGCTCAATCACTTCTTCCAGAGTGTATTTACGGTCGAGGACCCCGTCCTGCCAGCACCACCACCTGTTTACCCTGGCCCCCCGCTGGACAACATTGACATCAGCACTGGCGCGGTCAGGGAGAAGTTGCTGAAACTCAAGATAGACAGCTCACCGGGACCAGACGGACTCCACCCGCGCATCCTTCGGGAAACGGCCTTGGTTATGGCAGAGCCATGGGCGCGTCTCTTTCGTTCTTCTCTGGACAACTCCTCCTTACCAAGTGACTGGCGCAACGATGAAATCATCCCTATCTTCAAGAAGGGAGTGAAGGACAGCCCTGCAAACTACCGACCAGTGACGCTGACAGCCGTCCCATGCAAGGTCCTCGAGTCATTGGTCCGTGACCAGATGATGTCCTACTTGATCGAGACGGAACAGCTGAGCAACCTGCAACATGGCTTCAGACAGAAGAGGTCGTGCTCCACTCAGCTTCTCGAAACTGTCGAAGACTGGACCCGTGCACTGGAGGAAGGTGACCCTGTGGATGCCCTTTACCTGGACTTTAGTAAGGCGTTTAATTCTGTGCCTCACCAGCGCCTGTTATTGAAGCTCCAATCCTGCGGCATTAGGGGTCGGCTGCTCGAATGGATAAGGGCCTTCTTGACTGACCGACAGCAGCGTGTGTCGATAAATGGGGCAAAGTCAGACTGGGTTCCTGTCACCAGTGGCGTACCACAGGGAACGGTCCTGGGCCCGTTGCTGTTCCTGGTCTTTGTCAATGACCTGCCCGCTTGTGTCTCGTCAGGGCTAAAGTTATTCGCAGACGACACGAAGCTGTACAGAAGTGTCGGCCAGGCTTCAGAGTCGGAGGCTTTGCAACGAGACCTCGATGCCCTGCTCGGATGGTCTGAGAAATGGCAACTTCCTTTTAATCAGTCGAAGTGCAAGTCTCTTCACCTAGGTCCTCGAAACGCCAATCACCTGTACCGTATGGGAGACACTATGTTAGAGCAGACGTTGGTGGAAAAGGACCTGGGGGTCAAGATAGACCACCAGCTCAAGTTCCGGGAACAGGCTGCCGCAGTCGTGGCCAAAGCGTCACACATTCTGACAGTCATTCGTCGATCTTTCGGAGTAATTGATGAGACTACGCTTCCAACACTCTTCCGGACCATGGTTCGCCCCCATCTCGAATACGCCAACGCGGTCTGGGGACCCTTCAACCGAGAAGACCAGAAACGCATTGAACGGGTACAGCGACGGGCCACGAGACTGGTTGCCAGCATCCGCCACCTGCCATACAAGGAGAGACTCCGGAGCCTGAATTTGCCATCGCTCTACTATCGGCGCCGACGAGGCGACATGATCTCGGTTTACCAGGTGCTTCGACGGGGAGTGGATGTTGACCCATCTCAGTTCTTCACTGCGGCGACGACGACCAGAACTCGAGGGCATGAGTGGAAGCTGTCCAAGCCAAGGGCTGTCTCCAGAGTGCGGCGGAACGCCTTCAGCATACGAGTCCTGAACGACTGGAACTCTCTGCCATCCGCTGTCGTCGATGCGCCCTCAGTCAATAGCTTCAAGGCCAGGCTTGACGAACACTGGGCTCACGCCAAGTACACCATACATTCCAACGACTGATGCAGTGACACACTGACACAAAGCTCGTCACGTCCGGATCCAAGAGGCCAAAAGGCCTTCCTAAATTCCGCATTTTATAAGTATAAGTATAAGTATAAGTTTATTGCTTTTTAACTTGAAACAAAGTCATTTCTCAAATAAAAAGGTACCTGGGTCGTTACAATGACAGAACAACCTTTGCGTGCAAAAAGAGCGCGAACCATACACCAACGAGCAAAATTAGGTATAAAATAATTTCTTGCTTACTATCGTGAAAATTTTTGAATTTTCACCTCCAGATTGACCCGAAAATGACCTCAGCTTTTACCTCAAATGATTCTAACGCCGTAATTGGTTGGTCGGTAATTACGTCACTAGTCCATGCAAAATAAACACAATTGGTACAATTCTGGCGCAAAGAAAATGAAAATAGCGCAGGGGCGCATTCTGGGAGAGATCGCGGGGGAGCGCGCGCGTGATAGGGGAAAATTGGGGGCGTTTCGCGGGTTTTGCGGTCGCCGTGAGTGTGCGGTGCTTTGATCCTGTGTTGTTGTATCAGGTGACACCTCAGTGGTGTCATTGTGCATCTGCCTAAATTATCATAGCTAGCTGAGCACTTTGTGTTTGTCAAAGGTGTGCGGTTGAGGTCGTCAGATTGAAGTGGACGTTGAAGTTCAAGCGTGCAAACTGGGAGAAAGAGTTTGGCGACTAAGTGATGGTGATAGTGCTCAAGTGAGGTGGACATGATCTAAAATTAATTATCTTGGTGCGGTTAGGGTGGTGGTCAACAGGCTCAGACATTGAGTAAGGATGCTAAGGTGAATAACGTTTTCAACTGTCATGTTCGCTGTTGCAACCTCTGCCGAGCACCCATGCTATGCTTATCCAGATATGAATAAGCATATGAACATATTCATGCATATGAACATATGAAGCATATTCATGATATGAAGTGAAAAATTTAGATGCTCAATGTTCATGGATTAAAGTTGTTTGTGTTAAATATATTTGATAATCGCCCTGGGTTTGTATAATGGGTTGGGTATTTTAACCAGTCTTGAGTCTACCCATATGTCTAATAAATTAAATTTGATAAATGTATTTATTTTAACAGCTATTTACTTTTACAGTTGATCCCAGCCAGACTGAGACAGTAAAGATGGGTGAGATGTTGGCCTCGGCAGCATTCCTCCATATGGGGGACATTGTATCCCTGTATGCCGAGGGCAGTGTCTGCGGCTTCATCAGCACCCTTGGGTAAGTTCTGAGGAGAGAGCAGGTGTTCTCATCAGGTGGTCTGTAAAATATGTTTCGCTATTTTATTTGCTGTTTAATGCCTCTTATGAACCACTGGAACTGGTGTGTATCATCTGTTTTAATATTTTTTAGGCCTTAATCACCCTAGTAGCACACAACATTGATTGAACAATAAAATTGGTTGAATCCAGGCTGATAATCAACATTGAGGATCAACTGACTCAGCATCGATCTAGCACTGAGTTCACATTGATTTTGCATTATACAGGGTCAACTGGCTTTCGACATTGATCCAACATCAATTTCGTGTTGATTTTGTATTGCACTTGATTTTGTCATTGAGATCAGGTCAATTGTGGCTAACAACTACATTGATACTTTGTTTAATCAATGTTATTGTGCTTCGAGGGCAGTTACAGATGTGAGATGATGCTGACTGACCCCTTTTTGCTCTCCCCTACTAGTGAAGTGTCCTGTTTTTTCTTTTTTTCAAGTGATGGTTCTTAGTGTCTGACCATTTATTATATTTAGATTGATTTTTATCTATGATATGGATCTTGAGCTTATTGCCTAAATATCATGGACGAACATATTTTATCTGGACATTGAATGGCGATTAGTAGCCATAGTTTCACTTCCATTAATTTGAGTGTGGAAGGCCAATGATAATATTATGTTCCTGGTCAATATGCATTATGCCACCTTTTTGGGTGGTATTTCTTCTAACTTGTCTGTTTTCTGGTAGTTGCAGAAGACCTGCAGTTAGTTGCAGCAGTTTTGGTAGTTAGACACCAGGGCTGGTGCCTAATCATATTACCTTTGTTGCAAACTGCCATGCTGCCAGTAGGTACAGTCAACAGCAGAAGTAATGTGCGGTTTAAGTCATGGGTATGTTCTGCTTCTGAAGCTTAGGAACGATTAGCCAGACTACAATGAAACTTTGAATGTAGCTTACATGTATCATCACCCTTGCAGCTGCAAGTTTATCTATTGACGTCTTCTTTTCGATCACTCCGCATTTAAAAATCGTCAGTCAAAGCCACCCGTTGAGATTGGTAAAACCGCACATTACTTCAGCTGTGGGCTGTACCTATTGACTGTCAGATTCATGAACCATGATTTAATAAATTCCAACTGTGAACCAAATAAGCACACTTGTTCAAAGGAGGAGTGCATCGATATTTTGCCGCCATGCGGGCCGTTCGCGACGCTGCTGAACGCTCCACCCACACAGATGTTAATCTGTCTGGAGTTCGTTTCCTCCCCGTCAGTTCTCACTCAGACAGGTGCACTCGGTGGGACAGCCGACAGGTGTGCCTCCGTCCCACCCCCACTACCCTGGTCTGGTCCGAGTGACACTTGGGCGGTATCGCCACCGGGACAGGGTGCATTGATCGTGGTAACAGGAAGCATAGGTGGCGGGTGCTTAACGTGATTATCGATCAGCTACCCTCAATCTGGTGACGGCCTGTTGTCAGTGTGGCCAAATTGGTGATGTTGCGGGGAAAGTCACCCCCAATGAAAAGTATAATGACATCCTCAGAAATTTTAAAATTACATCATCATAACGTTTTTGTTGTGAAAGCATACCTAGTGAAGGAATAAAGACTAAAAATGTTCCAATGTACGATTCACACCGTCATACTCGTACTGTCGCGCTTGCAATGTTTTTTCATCTTTGATGACAATATTTGATTTTTTTTTGCTTTCCACCAGAGCTTGACATCAGGTATAGTTTTTCCACATAACTTGTAAAAACTGCACCTAAAATGACACTGAAGACGAGTTTTTTTTTTTTAATAGTGACATCCTCATACGACTTTTTTTATACATCCTCCCCCTAACGCTAAACCAATTTGGCCACACTGCCTGTTGTAGTTAGGAAGATCTTAGGCGTTTGTGGGTCAATGCCGCACAGCTTTAGTTTAGCGTCGGTGACTTGGACTCATTGCTTGGGCTAGGAAGTTGGTCGCCGATGAACGTAGAAGTCCGCCCCTTCCCCTAAGAAATTCAGTAATCATCACCTAGATCGTCCATAAATGGGAGACAAGGTGCGGCAGGAAATTTTCCCTCAGTTGTTCAAGCATACACCCTGTATGTGAATCCATGCCTGGAACCGAATCTGGCCCCGGTCGCGGCCCCTCGGGACCGGGTTCCGACCCCGGCGGTAAATATTTGTCTCCACTCTCGCCGGCCCGGCGCTGTGGGCCGGGACAGGTCGGCAGGCGCCAGCGGACGCAGGGTACTGGAACAATGGAACAGAGGGCAGTCGCTGGACTTGGTGCGGACAAAGCACTCGCTAAGTGCCCGTCGGCCGTCGCTGCGCTGAGTATGCTCTCTCGGGGACAAAGCCATGCATTAGCCAACGGTCATTCGATTACCTGTTCTAATTTCCACATGCAAAGCATCGAGAGCACCATGCCTCGGCACCGAACAGCGGATGGCTGGTCGTGGAGTAGCTGGCTCCCATTTTCATTGCGTTTCTTTCGTTTCGCATGTTTGTCCCTTCGCTCTGGGTCCCGTCCCAAGGCTCGGAGCGTCCTGCGCGGCGCGCTCGCCGTGCCCCGGCGGCTGGCGCGCGGCTCTGCCGGCGGGGCGCCGCATTGTTGGTCGGTATCGCTCCATCGTGCCGCCGACAGTTGGCCTGTTTGCCCTGAAATCGCCCGACGCCGCCGCTGTTTGTTGCCAAAACAGGCGGCGATGGATGGGCTGCGACCTGCGGCGCCGGCGGTGACGGACATGGCTCCATCCCGCGGCCGTGGACGCGCTCAGGGGACCGGTGTCATGGTCTGGGGTTGGGACGATTGAAGTGCACAGGGTCACTGCACCGCCGCTCTCGACATGTCACCTGTGCTCTCCGCCCCTAGCAGGCCTCACGTGCTCGGTCTCCGTTCTTTCTGCTTCTGCCGGTTCTGTGAACATGCTCGCCGCGTTTCACTCCCCTTCTGCACTGTGCTGTGATTGTAGCTTGTCCACTCCGTCCTGTTCCGCTCTTCCAATGTTTTTAGTTCGTTTTATAGCGTGAAGTTCGTTTTAATTTTCCTCCTTGGTGATAGGCAGGATAGGTACCTACTACCTATCATTAACAGTAAACGCTGTTTTAGACAAGACGCATGGTTATGGCCATTATACCCAGTTATTTTTAGTGTCATTTTCTCAGATAAATCAAAACGAGGCTTGCAGTCCATTATGCTTTCATTATTATTTCAAGCAAGCAATCCATCTGGCGTGACCGATTATGGTGGCAATCAGTCACCAGATTCTCGACAGCTGGCATTCCTCCGAAGGTCACAATGGCGCTCAGCGTTGGTTCGTTCAATTACATACAAGTAATGTAGATCTCAACTAAACATGCCAGGCCATAAAGCCGAGCCTTTGCTCAAACAGCCGGATGTCGGGTAGTATTCTCTTTTATGCATTTAAAACATTCTCAGGCTCGGACACTTAGGATTTCCGTTGGATCGGTCGGTTAATCTGCGTTTTTAACTGAGTATAGCCAATCGCACTATGATCTGATTCTTTTGTCTCCTTCATTTTGCCTCATGACATTTCCTCAAGTGCGTTTGCCATCGAGAGCGGGCGATGGCATTTATGCGATCGGGTTCTGTTTGCAATGACTCATAGGCAACAGAACGACCATGAACACTGAACACTGAGCATTGAGCACTGAGCATTGAGCACCGCTGTGAGACCCTTGGGCCGCGCCACGCAGCACCATACATAGGATCCTGCCGGTATACATTGGTCCTTCGGAGTAATGATGGACGGATATTGCAGTCATTTGCTGGTCTGTAGTGGTGATTACGTCCCTCCCCGCGGCGCGGTGCTTTTTCATTAGTGTTGGTCGTTACCACCCGCCCATACCTAATGATAGCGGCGGCAGGCTGTGACTGCAAGCTACAGTAGTTAAATTCATACGTTGGATCGATAACTGTCATAGTAATATTTTCTGGTGAACCGCGTATCCAACACGCCTTTCACAACAGCAAGTTAATGCCAGTCAAGCTAGTGGGCTGTATCATTGCAATATTTTAAATTTTGCGAAGGGAGTTCGAAATTTGAATTCAGTATTTACGAAACACGGCTCCTCTTCTTTAATTAGCGAAAGACCACCAGCGTCGGTAACCAGTAATCGGCCGTTATCTTAGTGTGCGCGTGTGGCGCCCATCTGTCCAGCTGACCAGACAATCGGAGCACCGTGCTATCGGTGTGCTCCGTGCAGTACTGAGTGCCGCTGCGGCCGGTCCGGTTCGGTTCGGTTAGACTCCGCCGTAATGAGGTGGCGCAGGGCTAACGAGCCTGCCGGCGAGCCTAGAAGACGAGACCGGTCCGGTCTGGGCGGGGTCGGCGTCGTACGGGCGGAGGGGGGGGGGAGCGTGCAGTTGCATCGGGCCGGGAGGGGAGAGGGGCGGGGAGAGATGGCATCGCCGGGCTGTAAAGAAACTGACCGGCGCCCCGCTGGGTCCGGTCTGAACCTTCGGCACCGTGGCCGGGCCGGTTTATTTGGCCTCCCAGTGTATGTTTTGATTAGCCCCGGGTGTCGCGTCCCCAGCCGTGTTTTGCATACTGGGAGGGGATGCGAACACTGGGCGGATAATCAGAATTCATCACAACTCGATGTCAAAATATTTCCATTGGTGACCACTTCGAAGTTCAATGTTTCTTTTCGTTCTGGCACTGTGGCAATTTCTGCCAAAGCGTCGCACGTGAGGGTAACTGACACAGCTGTGTGAGCTACCTTCGTGCTTCGTGTCGCGCTGACACAGCACTGACACAGTGTGCCACTGCTGAGATCAGCGCTGTACCGACCCTGCCCCGGAGGTGTGCGCGCTGCTCAGGCCACCTCCCCGGAGACAGTGCCAATGTCGCCGACTGTCTGCGGCGGCCCGATACCATCGACCGAGCCCCGGCTCCGTGTCCCGTAGCGCCGATCGCGCCCCCGGTCCGCTCTGACTCACTTCGCTCCGCTCTGTCTCACTTTGCTCTCCTCTCTCACGTCC